TGATGTTATAATAATTTAACAAACAGCTTATTCTACCTATTAATTCATGAAAATAATGTGTTTAGAATTAAAGAGGAATATCATGGGCATTATTTGTAGCCCATGGCACAAGACTGTAAAGAAATATCATTTTGTTTCTTGTATTTATTTAAAAGCAGGAGATGTTTGGGATGTTCATGACTCAGATGAGAGAATAACCATATTAGGTACAAATTTTAATTTTAGTGCCTTTTCAGTTCACATAAGAAAGTGACAGGATCGTTAAGGACTATGAAGAAGGTTCTGGTGCTAGGTGCTGGGTATGTTTCAGGACCACTGGTGGAGTACTTAACCCGTGACCAGTCCATATTTGTTACAGTTGGTTAGTTCAGAGTTCATTAAATTATTGGTTTTAATGGAATGTAAACTTACCTACAGAGCTTTGTAATGTTATTTTTGTTTTCAATTTACATTAACCATTTTATTCCTGTAACAGTTAAACATTAGATAGAATTAAAGATTTTCTAGTACTAATTCAGTCATTTTAACCCTCTATTTACCTATCAAACTAGAAAAAGATTTAGCTCATTAGAGATGAGCATATTTAAAGATTTCAACAAAGCAATTGTTAAGCCTACAGTTGGCATTGTTAAGTGTACTGTTGGTATTGTTTAAGCCTATTGTTGATATTGTTTAACCATACAGTTGGCATTGTGAAGTGTACTGTTGCTATTGTTTAAGCCTACTGTTGATACCGTTTAACCATACAGTTGGTATTGTTTAAGCCTACAGCTATTTGTATCTAAATCCTGTTTGAAATATCATAACATATTATGGGCTGTATGAACTCCAACATTTAAAAATGCAGAATAATTTATTGTATAAAGTTAAAAGCAAAAATATATAATTAAAAACTATACAATTAAAACTCTACATGTTTTAGTGGGAAAATTTCCACCATCATCAGGAGACCAAAAGAAACACAGGAAATGGGATAAGGTTCAAATACTTAAGCATGTTAAGCTAAAAAATGAATTAAACATAAGAGAATCTCTAGAAATTGTAAAACATAAAATGATTTTGAATAAAGATCTAGTCTGTCATTGTTAGATATGTAAAATGAAACCATATCATAGTTGGAGACAAGTAAGAAAACAAGAAATCTGGAAATAAAACTTGCTCTAAATGTTAAACATTCAATGTGGTAGTCTCGTAAACAGATAGAGGTTAGCACTTTAGTAGTCAACTTTTGTGAAGTGTTACAACAATATAATGTTGTTTGATAAAAGTCATGTACTTGAATGGTTGTTCTATTAATAACCTAGAATCATCTACTAGATATTTAGTGTTTTAATAAACACCACAAACTTTGAGTCCATCTCTGTATCAAAACATTACCACATCTGCCTATAAAAGAGAATGGAATTAGAATTTGTTTTAAAATGAAGAGAACCAGGTCATTGATTTCCATGATATTATGCCTTGTATGTACTTATGAATGTTTGACTATAGGTTCGGCTCTACAGAACCAGGGTGAGGCTTTAAAACAGAAGATGACAAACACAGAATACGTAGTTCTAGATGTTACCAAAGGAGAAGACAAACTTGATCATCTCATTTGTGAATCAAGCTTAGTAATTAGGTAATGTACCTTTATTGTTTAATTCTTATTGGTCATTTTCATAGTGATTGTAAGACCTGTACTGTTTTTGTTATTCTATGTAGTTATTGATAATTTTTGTTTCTAAAAAGATAAGTTACACATTTTTTTTTGTTCTCGTTAGTATGCTACACAAATGTTTTTGAGACTTTCTTCATTTACTTGCTTCACTATTCCAGACAGGACTTACAAATCAAGGATGGTTAGGCCTACTTCACTGAAGAACTTATTTTAGTGGAAAAAAGAACATTTTTATTGTTAGTCTCAGGTTTTCTGAGAGATGTTTTAATAACTTTTCTATTCAAATATAGCTGTGTGGTTTTCTTCACACGCATTATACAAATTTCAAGATAAAACACAGTTGACTGTATAAAAGCTGGATACCTGAGAGCTGCGGATGTGAGGTTTACTTACAACTACATTCAGAGTTATTTCACTGACAGTTTAGATACATTCACTGAACAATTTAAATGTTGCATAACATTTTAACTGATTGCAAGGAAACTTGTTATCAGAATGAGGTAAAAAGGCATGCGTAAAAATGATATGGTGCTAGATCTGCTCTTCTACTTAAGTTCAAATATGTTTAAAGTTATTTTGTTACAAAATCTGAGTATTCAAAATATAAAACTTGTGTATCAACAGCAGTGGGCATTAAGAATAAGCTAACGTATATTTTACTTTCAGCAGCCAGCAGCCTGAGATAATTTTTAAACTTGGTCTATGTTTATCTTGTAGCTTTTTTGAAAGAACAACATGCTCTCATTTGAAAATGCATGTTTAATTATGACTTCTGTGTCATTATATACTAACTTTCCCTTGTTTCAGCGAGTTTCTAATATCCAACTCTCTGTGGTTTGTTATTGTTCTTCTAAAGGTTTGTAATAATAATAATAGAAAGTAACATCTTAGGTGTGTAGTTTCATAGCTTACTTGTGAACAGGGGCTTGCTTGTTGTAGATCAAATCTATGTGAGTTGAAATATTGTATCTGTTGTGTCAGCGAGGTCACGTGACTAGTATCACGCCACGTCCTTCTAGAAATATCCTGTTCCTTCATGAATGCTCTAGCATTTACTAGATATTTATTAGTCTTGTTTATATAGGACGGTTACAACGTGTAGGGATAAGGTGTGTGTAATTGAACTGAATATTGTTGAGGCGAGCACGTGAGACGTTCGTTGAGAATTATAGCGTTTGTTATAGTGCGACTGTTGAAATTAAGTGTATCGCAAAGTTATATTCAGAAAGAATAAACCAGTTTTATTTAAGAAAGGACTTGCGTCGCTAAAGTTTCATCAGAACGAATTTATGGAAAATTAACTAACGAACGGAGGCGTAACATATCTGAGATAATTTTATCAAGAATGACTGTTCAAAATTAAAGTATAATCCTGTTGTAGAGTGCAAGTACAGTTACAAAGGGCAAAAATAGCCTCAAAATTACAATAATGATTACATGATAAACACTTATTCTAATATGCTTAAGTTGTAAGTTGCATTAAGTAACCTTAAGAAAAATATCTTTATTTGCTAAATATGGTTTTTCTCTATATAACATGCACACAATGGACTAATTTTAATAATGTAAGTAAGAACTTTAAGATATGTATTTGAATTTTGTATTTTATTTTATCAAGTGAAGTTTTGTTATTGAATAAATAATGGTGAAACTATTTTATAAAATGAAGTTTTGTTGTTGAATAAATAAGGGTAAAACTATTTTATAAAGTGAAGTTTTGTTGTTGAACAAGTAAGTGTAAAACTATTTTATCAAGTGAAGTTTTGTTATTGAATAAATAATGGTGAAACTATTTTATAAAATGAAGTTTTGTTGTTGAATAAATAAGGGTAAAACTATTTTATAAAGTGAAGTTTTGTTGTTGAACAAGTAAGTGTAAAACTATTTTATAAAGTGAAGTTTTGTTGTTGAACAAATAAGTGTAAAACTATATTTTATAAAGTGAAGTTTTGTTGTTGAACAAGTAAGTGTAAAACTATTTTATAAAATGAAGTTTTGTTGTTGAACAAATAAGTGTAAAACTATTTTATACATACTGCTGTTAAAAATTTACATATTTTTTGGAGAACAAGGAAATTATTAACCATAATGTGTTTCATATGATATATTTTACAGCTTGCTTCCTTACTCATTACACCCTCTGGTGGCAGAGAAGTGTATCAAACACAAAGTCAACATGGTGACGGCCAGTTACCTCACTCCAGAAATGAAACAGTTACATGAAGCGTAAGTGTGAAACATAAGATTTGGTTGAAATTTGCTTGTTTTGGATTTCTATAAGTTAAGGTGGTACTTAATCTTGGTATCTATAAAGCTTGTTAGCATGAGACTCGTTTCACTTGCAAATAAAGACATTTTATTTTCTTGATAATAAGGTATTTCTCTAAAATTTGAAAAAGAAAAAAAAATTTTTTTCATTCATTAAAATAGAAAAAATCAGGGAGTAGCAAATTAAAACAAATATCTTGTAAAATATGTATATATATATATATATATATATATATGTGTGTGACAGAGAAGGACTTATCAAATATTACTGTTCATTGGTCAGCATTTTCGTGATGCAGTTTCCTCGAGAGTAACCAAGTACTATGAGGGTTACATCAGACAATAATGAAGAGTTCATGTGTACAACAGTGGTAACATAGAGATGGGTAGGCAACATCAGAAAGAAAGAAATGTTTTCATCGATTAGAGTGAAAATTCTAAGTTGATTTAGAACTAGTTTTTAATTTAAATTCTTGTGAGTCAAACAGTCAGATTTGGGTGGTTCTTGAAGAAGTTTTATAAATGAAATGTTCAGCCAAGAAATAACTACAGTTTTCTGAAGTGTGTGTGTGTGGTCATTCATTTGATTGTTTTAAGTCTTGTAGTAGTACTTCAATGTTTTAATTACCGTACTACTTGTAGAAGGTTAGTTATATGTCTATAAGATCATATATTGTGAAGATTTGCCATTTCTACTGCAAGTTAAAGAAGTAAGGTTCAATTAGGATATTAGAAAACAGTAAACTCGTGTAGGTGTTTTAACTACTACTTATTGAAGAATGTAATTTTTAGACACTTCACATTCATGGTTAATTTTTTGTTTTCTAAATCTAAAGATATGAGGCTGAAACACATTTGTTTTTAACCCTAAAACTTGGATCAAGTTCAGTCTTCCATGTTAAATGCACTTTTATGATACACCAACCCTTTTATTGTGGTGTGAGTCCTTAGAGGGCTTCACACATCTTTAAGTGGGCTGTATGAATCTGTTAAGTGGGCTTCAGAAGTCTTTTAGTGGGCTTCACATTAGTTTGCCATATACCTAAGTCACATTTTTGATAAGGAAAGACTTTGTTATGATGTGATTTTTAATATTAGATTTGATGAAAATTATAAAACTGGAACATGATGCACAAGATCAGAATAATTAGTTGACATAGAAGAGTTGGTACTAAATACATATATGATGTGTGGAACTAGGTACAAAAGATATGGATATAGGATGTATGGAACTAGGTACAAAAGATATGGATATAGGATGTATGGAACTAGGTACAAAAGATATGTATATAGGATGTACGGAACTTGGTACAAAATATATGGATATAGGATGTATGGAACTAGGTACAAAAGATATGGATATAGATGTATGGAACTTGGTACAAAAGATATGGATATAGGATGTATGGAACTAGGTACAAAAGATATGGATATAGGATGTACGGAACTTGGT